GAGCCCGGTGCCGCGCTCGGCTATTGTGCCGGTCTCACGTGTCAGAGTGATGTTCAGAGACGTCTTTTTCACTCCGGGCAGCTGCCCCGATTCAGGGATAAGCCAGGCAAATAGCGTCTGTCTGTGCTGGAGCGCGGAGGCGACAGCGCCGGGGTGAAGCCCTCTCAGTTTTCAGGAAAGATTTCCCACATGGGTCTCATCTACCAATCACAACAGAAAGGACCAAATTCATCCGGGCTGCATTTCACATATACTCAATGGAGTTATAGAATTCAGGGGTAAATCTGGCCCTTTGTGGTGGATGCCTAAGGATATTTCAAGGGAGATCCCAGAGGTATGACTGTTAGCGGTGTTTTAAGTAACTGTACTTTGCAGCATCTGGCAAACCTGCCCTATAGGTCGGAAGTTTGTGCCAGGAGTGAACTTTGTTCAGCAGGAAGAGCCCAGATGCGTAGGAGCCTGTATATGTGCATTAATTTTGTGTTAAGTGCTCTGAGCAATCATGAGGCTACTGCTACCTTTGGTCTGTGGCTTGCCGTTATTTTCTCTGTTGTCTGTTTTTGTAAATTGTAACCATAAAGTGTTGCCAAGTGAGAGACTTGGGCTAATACTAATGACATAAGCACCGAAGTGTCTCAAGACCCATTTGGCAATGAAACTGGACAAACACTGTTAAACCTATCAGTGATTTTAAGGCTTCAAAAAGAAGGTAATGACTTGAATACACATTTCACTCATCATTCTTGAGATAGTGGGCCAGATTTAATTTAAAAGTTAAATGCTTTGGAAAATCAGGAATTACTTTAATATATTAAATCATTTTCCAATTAAGTTCCTTAAATCATTTTTGGTGGGTTGCACTGCAAATCGAATAAATTAATTTAGAAAGTTGTTTTCAGAATTTCTTTACTAGCTGGTTAAAGCTTCTTTTAAGTCATGCCATGTATGAGGGAGCAAACTGTTCTTTTTAAATGCAAATGAGACACTCATTCTGTAGACAAGTTGCAACTCTTCTATTTCACTTTGCCTGAACTGATAATGTGCTTAAAAGTGCACAGTCATAAGACATATGTTTTATGCTTGGAAAAGACTTACCAGGAATGTTTCAATATAAGATACCGAGTATAGGGTAAATGTCTTTTTCAGATGTTTTTGCCACTGCCCATTGATTACATTAAATGGACAGAGTAGGTTTGCCAGGCCCCTTGGAGGCGTACGTTTACTGAACATTTTTCACCCCCTTCATTCTCCCTTCACCCAGCATGATTAACATTGCTGTGAAAATTCATCTGACTTGTTCTAAACATGTCGTCATGTTACAGTATTGCTCTGTCACTCATTTTCGTGCTGTGTGTATTTAGGGAGTTTGAAGGGCGGGAGGCCTGCAGAATTTTATGTTCAGTAAGTTTGAGTGTTTGCTCTTGATCTCTCCCAGGAAAGGAGATGATGGCATGGGTCCGTGTTCTGGGTTGGAATGGTGGTCCTGGCTAGATCTTAACCTGCAAAACTCATTCACAACAGTTTCTTATAAAGTTAGTTAAAACTTGCTTTGGGGCACTTACTAGTGGATTTGGCCCTTGTTTCCATACCTGAGTTTTGTTGGTTTTTTTTTTTTACAAATAGAGCAGACTTTTATTCTTTACATTTTAAGTCTGCTTGAGCTGCTGGTAATTTTGAATGCATTCCAGAAATACTTACGCTTTTATGTTTTCTAGCTGTTGTTAGCACTAGTTTTTTTCCTGATCAGATGATTTTTCGTAGAGTATGGGTGAGTTCCCAGGCACATTCACAGGAGGTATTGACAGTGCATTTTTCTGTAGCCAAAGGAAAATGCAGTAGTGTAGATTCAAACAATCACCTCATCTTACAGTTTTCAGTTGGCAGGCTTTGTTTCAGAAGATTGCTTAGATCTTTATTTTATAAACCTAAAATAGTATTCTAAGCATCTTAGTCTAATATTTCTCTATCTGCTGTGAAAGCTCATTATACTCCACATATCCATGTTTCTCTCGCATTACCCATGGAGAGAGAAAAGTGAAAGAACAATGCAAACAATGTTGGTTATGACAACTGTGTGAGGTATCTCTTATACAAACAGACAGAATGGATGGTATGCTGCAGTATATAGGTCAGCCTTTGAAATAACATAGTGGAGCTCTTACACTGGACAGATTTAGAGTTGGGGTTGTACTGTTCATCTCTTGAAACTTGAAGCATAATTGCATTTCAGACATTTACAGGCTAATGTGGATAGTCTGTTCAGTTGAAGTTTATTTTAAGGAGCATCACGTTCCTTAATTCAGTTGATTGCTACCAAAGAAATAACTTAGATAATCTGAGTGTTTTAGTTCGGTAGAAGAACACAGTCAGGGATTTCAAGCTGCTTGAAGAAGTCGGATGATAAGTTTAAATGTTTATGTAAAGAGCAATAAATAACATCCTTATGGCTTTCTGTATTGAAGTGTCACCTCCAAAGACCGCTTCGATCAGTACTGCAAGAAGGATTGGTGTATTTTCATACTAGCAACTTTACAGTGTTTTAAGATATCTGCTCACATAAAGTGCAGTTATATAATTATACTTTGACACAGCTAATGACAGGGATGCTGACCCCTGCCAACAGTAGGGAGAAAATAATGGTCTTTACTGCTCCCAATGGTTAGCCTTGCAGAATTATGCACTAGATTCTTCTGTGATTTGCCTCCTGGTTAAAAAATACAGGAACCTTCAACTCATCTTTCTTGTATTCACTGGTAGTTGTCAGTGAGTGGAAAAATACAGCTAGACAGCAGAGGTAGAATGATAGACTGTAGTTGTTTTTAAAAAGAGGAATAAAGAGGAAAAAAGTGGGAGAGGGAAGCAAAACCCTTCAAAATGAAAAAAGCAAAGCGACATTGGGTGGAAGTGGATAAGGAGATATAATACATTGCTTTGTAAACAGGTAACAATCCCACTCGTAATCAGAATTCCACGGAGCAAAAGTGCATATATTCATACAGAGCATTTAGAATAATTCATTGTGTAAACTTAACCCCACCATAGAGACTACTCTAAATAAAATGCTCCATGGCTGTTTATAAAGTGTACATTATTTCCAGTGGTTTGCTTCTATCCAGTCTCTATGTGAAACTCAGAATTGTGGCAAGCCAGCACTCTGAAGGACAGCTCTAAAGCTGAAATGCTGTGTTAGTGTTTTGACAGCGGTTTAGATTGTGCTCATCTAATAGATCACCATGTGTTTATTCGGGGCATTTTTTTTGTTTTTCCTTAGATAACTGCCTTGTCCCCTACTGCATTAGAATCATAATTGAAATTTGTTGCTGTCTCTTAAAGGAAGGATTAAGCAGTTGCATTAGTGCCGACTGTTGATTTTTGAGTGTGAAGTGTTTTAGTTATTTTCAAAAAATATCACATAGGAATAAGGGAAATGAACTATTTTTTTCCTGGGTTCCTAGACCTTAGAATGTAGTCTCAGAGTTGCAGGCAATCCTCAAGTATACCTCCTTAAATTCCAGTGTTCCAGAAAAGAAGTGGTCCTGATTTTAGGGGTATACAGACAGAAAACAATTTATGTATGTATTTTTTGAGAAATCTTTCTGAAAGGTGTCTATAAACCAAAGCATTTGCAGTCTTTTTTTTTTTTTTTTTAACCTTGCCAAACCTCAGTACCTTGAGAGAAATTATGTTTTATTCTCTTACCAGAATGATGTGGTTTATCTCTAGGGCATTACCCTCAACCAGCCTATCATGAGGACTTCTGAAAAAAGTGGGGACTGTAATCAACTAAGGATGCTGTATTTGCTAAACACTACAGTGCATGCAGTACCTCTGGTGTTTACATTAAACCAAAGAGCAGCTGCAGCTACATTTAAGGACTTAAGGAGCTGATACTTTGGAGGACTGAACAGTCCCAACTCCCATTGGATTCATTGTGTGTTGGGGGTCATCACACTTTACCAGGAAGAACTGATCACCCTTGTATGCTCAGATTCCTATCTTGACAGGACTTTCTCTTCTTGCTAACACTGTACAGAAGCATTGGAAAATGGACTATGTTTAAAACACAACTGCATTAACCAGAGAAATGTCCTAACCACAGTAAGGTTTAGATCAAAGTTCTTGGATATTTAAATCCTGTATTGATGGCAGGTAAAACAAAACTTAGACAGTAGAAGCAAAAAAACTTCCTTTGACTGCTCTCAGTGTGCCTCAAAAGTGACCTGAAAGCACCACTTGTTGTGGTAAGAGGGTAGTCCCTGGATCAAAGCAGACTTTGGCTTCTGGAACTGTCAGCGGTGGTAATTAGTGGCAGCTTTGTTTATCTTTTTGAAGTGGACACATGCTCTGTGGGTGTCTATCTAGATACTTATTTTAAATATAGCCTAACCAAATTTAAATGTTTTGTTGTTGCAGTTGGCCTAGGTGATTGTTGTAGGTCTCTTCCAACTGAAATATTCTATTCTATTCTATTCTATTCTATTCTATTCTATTTTCTATTCTATTCTATTCTATTCTATTCTATTCTATTCTATTCTATTCTATTCTATTCTATTCTATTCTATTCTATTCTATTCTATTCTGTTTGTTCTGTTCTGCTGTTTTTGTTATGCAACTTGGTAGCGATTTTCTGCCCAAGGAGTGATTTCTCTTTAAAAATGCTTTAAAAATGCTGAGTTATAAACTGCTCCAAAACATGGTTTATAGCGGAAGTGACAAATGACTGTTAATTATAGCAGTGCTTCCAAAATACTTTCAGACATGGAATTCACATCAAACTGAATGAGATTTTCTTGGTCATAACGTTTTTCCCTATAGCACTGAGTTGGAAAATGTCAACACTGCATTATTCTGTGGTTAGGCACAGATTACGTAGCATTAGCAGCAACAAACATTGCCCTTCCACAGCAGCAAGTACATAGAAGAAAATCTCATTTCCCCTTCTGCTGGAATATCTGCATTTTATGTTTATCGGTTGTGATCAGTTTTAGGTTAGTAAGTCAGGGCATTGAATAAAAATGTTTTCAGCAGAGATCTTGGTGCAACTGACATTTGTAATGTCTGTGGTTTTCTTTTGCTTCTCATGTTTGCAGTAAGTAGTTTATTTTTAGCATTTGAATTTCATATGGCTCTACTAATATTTATATCTTATCTTTCAATTGCACATATGCTAACACTGTTCCTGAACTGTTCATTTAGTGTTTCTCACTGGGCTGCTATTTGATTTGCCATAGACCCTTGTAGTATGGTTTCCTCCCAAGAAGCACGCTGCTTTCTGAGTTGCAAAACATACTTGAATTACATGAGCATCTGACAAATCCAGGTTAGTGGAAATGT